GGCTGTGGTGAGCCAAGGTGGGGCCACTGCATTCCAACCTGGGCAAGAGTGAGACCTTGTCTCAAAAAAAAAAAAAAAAGTGGAAAAAAGAATAAAATAAGAAAAAGATGCACAGCGCCAATTCTGTGCATAAGAAAGCCACCCTGGGGCACTAACATCAGACCAGGTGTCACCCTTGAAGATAAAGAGGGGTATTCTGTAATGACACCAGGGTCAGTCTCTGTCACGATGACAGAAAAATCCTAAATGCCTAAAAATCTAATAACAGTTTCAAAATATACAAAGCAAAAACTGACAGAACTGAAAGAATGGAGAAATTCACTGTCCTGGTTGGTGATGCGACGGCTCTTGGGACTGCGAGCACAGCAGACAGGACCAGGAAGATTCGCGGGCGTGAGGAGACTGTCAGCCACCTTCACCTCATAACTCAGAGAACGCCCACCCCACAGTCACAGAACACACGTAATTTTTGCGTGTACACAGAACATTTACAAAGACAGAGCTTATGTTAAACAGTAGAAACAAGTCTCAGTCATTTTAAAAAGTGACCTCCTGCAGTTTGTTCCTTCATCAAAATGGAATTAAATCAGTAAGATCCGAAGAGGGGGTTTAAAAATAAATACATAAATAAAGAGATTATTCTAAATTAAGCATGGGTCGAAGAAGAAATCCAAAAAAAATTAGCACGTAGTTCAAATATTGATCAAAATATCATAAAAAAATTGTAGTATAGTCTTAGAAGAAGACTTGTGACCTTAAATACTGACATTTCAACAAAGAAGGCACACAGTGGTCAATACACTCATGAAAGGTTGTTCAACCCATCCGTCACAAGGAAATGCAAACACCTCACTGAGATCCACCAAAACACTCAGTTCTGCTGCCAACTGTGACCTGGCCAAGCCTGCCTGCCTGGGGGCAGAGGTGAGAAGGAGGAGGCTGGGGTGTGAGATCCACCTGTCCCAGGCAGGGGGGCAGAGGCGAGAAGGAGGAGGCTGAGGGTAAGATCCACTTGTCCCAGGCAGGGGGGCAGAGTCAAGAAGGAGGAGGCTGGGGATGAGATGTGGGTAACGCCATATCTGGGCACTGAGGAAGGAGAGCTAAGCAGATCCCCGGCATAAGTAGTGCCGGAAGAATATCTTAGTTAATAGTGTTATTACTCAGTTATTTCCTCTATATAATCCTTGTGTTAATTTGTAGTTGGAACAATTAGTGCCTGAAGAATATGTTACTACTCAATTATTTCCTTTGATATATATATATCAAAGGAATATATATAAGATATATATATATACATATATATTTTAGTTTATAGTCTGAGGAATGTCTAGAGCAGACACAGTACAGAGTATGAATTAAGGGATAAACAGCTACACATATATAAGCATATCTTGCTTATAGTTGGAGGAATGTCTAGAGCAGACACAGTGCATTTTTTTTTAAGGGAAAAGCAGTTATTCAAGGACAAGAATCTCTGGCCCAGGCGGCAGTGCCCCTGCCTGAAAGGGCACACACTACATGGCAGTCCAGCCCAGGCAGCCGCATTCAATATGGTAAAGACACCACTGTATGGCAGGCTTGGAGCAAGAGTCACTCCTCCTGAAAAGCAGGTCCAGTACCTTGCATCCAGTTCTTGTGGAAAGCTGGCCTCTGGCAGGAATCCTGTGAGCGTCCAAGGGCTTAAAACCCCTCTGGTATCATCGGGTCTTGGTGGCTGTGAACTGTGCCGCTCTGTTGCTACCGTGCTGGCTCAAAGCATCCTCCTGTAGAAATCACTGGAAGCTGCCAGCAGGTGGCGGTAGACCCTGTCAGCTCTGTCGCTGCTGTGTGGCTCAAAGCATCCTCCTGTAGATAGCCTTAGAAGGAGCCTGCCATAGATAGGAGATGATGCACACTGCACCCTCCTTACTGCACACCGCCCACCTCCTCAGTGACCTAATGGTGGTGGACCTCTTGCTTATCGCTCACGTGATTGTCTTGACTCTATGACTATCTTTAAGATGACCTCACTCACTACCCTGCCCCAACCTATACCCAATAAATACAGACTCTTCTGGACATTCAGGGCCTCACCTGTCGCCACTTATAGGTGGTGTGCCCCCACCCCAAGCCCAGCTGCGCTTTCTTTGTCTTTCTGTGTCCTGTCTCTTTATTTCTCGGATCCTGCACCTCAGCACAGCAATAGGGGACACCCCACGACCCTGTAGGGCTTGTCCCTACAGTGAGATCCACCTGTCCCAGGCAGGGGGGCAGAGTGGAGAAGGAAGTGGCTGGGGATGAGATCCACATGTCCCAGGCAGGGACGGAGAGGAGGGGGACAGGACAGCAACATCTGCTTTCAGCCACGTCAAGTGTTTGGAGACGCGATGTCACCTCAATGCGAGGAACGGCCACTCAGGACACATGTGAACTTCCTCCAACCCACTTCTCACCAGGAATCAGAATCCCAGCCCCTGGGACCCTCAGCCCATAAACATCGTGAGCCAACAGCACCACCGAGCTTGCCACAGCCTTGACCTGAGGCTGCTTCAGAGAGCCACCCACGCTGCACCTGGGGAGACCCCATCTGCATCCACCCCCTCCTTTCAGACCGAGCCAGCCAGAGGCACCCAGAAAGACTATGCTGGGCCTCAGCTGTGGTGAAACCCAGGTTGGGGGCAATGGCAGGACCTGTGCCACCGTCTGCCCGGTCTCCTGGCTGGAGTCAGTCACCTGGCTAGTCCCCAGTCGAGGTGCAGAAAGCATCACCAACCTGCACAGGAAGGCAAGGAAGCCCACAGCGGAGCCAGCACACATGTGGCCACGCCCCCAGCCCAGCCCCTCACACATTGGCCACGCCTCCTGTCCGGTCCGTCAAGCGTGTGGCCACGCCCCCTGCTCAGCTCCCCCCCCACTTGTGGCCACGCCTCCTGTCCGGTCCGTCAAGCGTGTGGCCACGCCCCCTGCTCAGCTCCCCCCACCTCACTTATGGCCACGCCTCCTGTCCGGTCCGTCAAGCGTGTGGCCACGCCCCCTGCTCAGCTCCCCCCTCACTTATGGCCACACTCTATCCAGCTCCCTCACACGTGGCCACACCCTCTGCCCAGTCCCTTCACACACGTGGTCACACCCGCTGCCCATCCCCTCACACGCCTGCTGCACCCCCTCACACGCCTGCTGCGCCCCCTCCCCGTGCCCACCCAGGGCGGCCGCCTCTGCCCCAGGACTGACCCAGTGTGGGGTCCGGCTGAGCTCTGGGAGGCCCCCTGCCAGAGCTGTGCCCGCGTCACTGGCTGCACAGAGAGAAAGGAAGGGGCGGAGGAAGCCGAACCCTGACCACCGCTGCCGGAGCCGGGCGAGTGCTCTAGTCTTCCCGCCTGCCTATCCGCTTTACGTCCCTCCATAATAAGCGTGGCCCCTGCAGTGTGTGACTTTTATGATTTTCCTTTAGGAGAAACATAACCGCAGTCCTCTGTCCCGCCGCTCCTGCACGGGATGGCCCAGGCCCTGGGTCATCATGGGGGCATAGTTAACCCCATGCGTGCAGAGGGCCGCCTCGGAGCCCAGCGACAACACAGGTCAGGGCAGAGTTGGCCACTGCTGAATGGCTCCTGTTGTGCGCAAAGCTTTGACTTTTAAAGACTGCACACAGCCCATTCTGCATTATTTAGGGTGAATTACACTGCTGGGCACAATGAGAAGACGGCTCCTGTTGGTGCTGAGGGAGGCCTGGAAGTCATTGCTGGGAGCATGGGAAGGGTGTCCCCTGAGGCAGAGCCTCCCAAGGGACAGAGGCCACCCGGTGATGACCTGGGAGGTGGGTACAGGTGTGCGGGTCCCTCGGGGTCCACCATCGGAGGCCCCACAGCAGGCCCTAACCCCCTCCCATGTGTCCTAAGGTAGCTGTGGTCATTCCACACTTCTGACCTGGAAGTTCATTGCAGCACAGTTTACAATAGCAAAGACCTGGAATAAACCCAAATGCCCATCGATGTTAGACTGGACAGGGAAAATGTGGCACATATACATTATGGAATACTATGCAGCCATCAAAAACGATGAGTTCGTCTCCTTTGTAGGGACATGGATGAACCTGGAAACCACCATTCTCAGCAAACTGACACAAGAACAGAAAAACACCTCATGTTCTCACTCATAGGCGGGTGTTGAACAATGAGAACACAGGGACACAGGAAGGAGAGCATCACACACTGGGGTCTGTTGGGGGGAATAGGGGAGGGACAGCGGGGGGTGGGGAGTTGGGGAGAGATAGCATGGGGAGAAATGCCAGGATAAAGGTGAAGGGGAGGAAGGCAGCACATCACACTGCCACGTGTGTACCTATGCAACAATCTTGCATGTTCTTCACAGGTACTCCAAAACCTAAAATGCAATAAAAAAAAAAAAAATGTGTCTGCCTTTCATCTTCTTTGACTCTGATATGAAAGGTCTCTACTATCAACTAAGTTGCCAAAAGTAGTTATTGTTCCCAACCTGGCCACTCAATCCATGCAGGAGCCTCAGGTGAGAGCTCAGGTGCACTTCAGATGCAGCCTCAGGTGAGAGCTCAGGTGCGGTTCAGATGCAGCCTCAGGTGAGAGCTCAGGTGTGGTTCAGATGCAGCCTCAGGTGAGAGCTCAGGTGTGGCTCAGATGTAGCCTCAGGTGAGAGCTCAGGTGTGGCTCAGATGCAGCCTCAGGTGAGAGCTCAGGTGTGGCTCAGATGTAGCCTCAGGTGAGAGCTCAGGTGTGGCTCAGGTGCGAGCTCAGGTGTGGCTCCGGGTGAGAGCTCAGCCTGGGCTGCCTGGCATGTGAGCGCCAAGCCTGCCCTTGGCTTTAGAGCTGGTGTCTGTGCCTCGGCTTTCCGGTGACGGAGATGGTGCACCCAGCACTCCCAGTAGCGCGTTTGCCTTCAGGGCGGTGAGCCGCACTCCAGTGGGCGCACACGGTGCCTTCGCTCCCATTTTTACTGGTGAATGTAACAATTAATGAAATAAAATACAATTACTAATGAGACCAATGTTCACAATGCTGATGACGGATAGCCTTTTAGTTTTAACGAACTCATCTTCTTAAGCCGAGAAGCAGTTCAACATCAATGAGGACAAGGGATCCGGGCCCCGCGATCCCCACTCCCGGGCCTCTCTCCGCAACGTGGGCTGGGCGTCCTCCCCGCGGCCACACGGGGGCGCCGCAGGACAGCGCGGAGTGGGCAGGGGGCGAAGAGGGAGGGGCCGGGCGGAGGGAGGGGAACGAGGTGGTGAGGGGCAGAGGGAAGGAGGGGGGGCGGGAGAGGGATGCGGAGGGGGCTGGGAGGACGAGAAAGGGGTTGGGGGAAGAGCAGGAAAGAAGAACCGGGAAGGGAGTGGGAGGGGAATGGGGAGCGAGAGGCACATGGAGTGTGGGCTGAAGGGCGGGGCAGGGGCGCTGGAGAGGCTGGAGGGTCGGGGTCAAGCAGGCCAGGGAGTTGAGGGGTGGCCGCGGAGCTGGGGGGTCCCAGGTGCCTTTGGAAGCCCTGAGGGGGTTCCTCCATGATAGACCGGTGCCTGCAGCCTGGGGGCGAGATGCCTGGTGGGGGTGGGGAAGGACCCTGAGAGCAGGAGGGTCCCGGCAGCCCTGCGGCAGACAGAAGGAAGCCCCTTGAAGAGGTGGGAGTCCCCACCGTTGCTGAGGCTGCCCCCTCCCAAGGCCCACAGGGAAGGGGGTACCAGGTGACAGGCGTGTCCTGTGTCCTGCCAGGGTCTGACACAGGGGAAGGCCGAGGGTCATCCTGAAGGCTGAGCTGGGTGGGTTGAGGCCCAGGCACCAGCCTTCCCCTCTTCCTCTTTGGTGGCCACATTTTAGTAGCCAGGCCACTGACTGAGGGCACTGCAGGGTGGCCCCTCTTGTGCACACATGGGGACACCTGTGCACAGGCTCCTGGGTGGGTGGCGCGGAGGGCAGGGGCGTGGGCCCAGAACATAGCCTCCTTGTGCCCTCCCTGCCCTCGGGCCCAGAACTCACCCACCCTGCAGGCCCCAGGGCTGAGGTCAGGGCCTTGTTCCTTGGGTGCTCCTGTGAGTCCCCCACCCACAGCCCCTGAGACAACTGCCCCACAGTGCTGGGCAGCAGGGGTGGGGAGGTACAACTCCCCACCCAGGAGACCCCCAGAGCCCTTGCCCCACTAGAGGAAAGCAGATTTCCAAAACCCACCCCAGGACAAGGCTGGCTGGGGCCCTCTGAGTGAGTCAACGTGTGGGGCTGCCATCCTGCAGTTGGGCCCCGAGGGCCTGGATTCAGGTTTCTCCTGGGACCCCTGCCGTGTCACTGGCAGCTTGGCTGCTGTCTCCAGCCTCTGTGTAGGATGGAACCTCCTGAGGCCGCTGGGGTCTCTGTAGGTGCCTGGTAAGCAGAGGGTGCCGGGTTGTGAGGAGAGGGTCTGCTGCTTCCCCTTGAAGCCCTGCACCCGAGCCCTCCACAGCTGTGTGCGAGAACGCCCTCCCCTCCACGCCCCCACCACCACACCACCCCAGGGGTCCAGGCCAGCCTGGCAGGCAGAATCTCCGGAGATGCTGGCCCCCTCCCCACCAAGGGCCATGGACGAGGTTTCCCCTTTCTACAGGGCAGGGCTTCCCTTGTCGCAAACCCGGGGTCTCCCCAGGAAGTTCCCAACCTCCCGGGAGCATCGGAGCTGACCCTGCCTGGGAGAGGATGGACAGTCGGACCCAGCCACTGCCACTGTCAGGCCCCCACCCGGCAACACCCCCGCCCCTAGGAAATAGAAACTGGGCTCTTTTAAAATGAAAATCCAGTGTGTGGCTGAAGGGCACGGTGATGGAGCCCTCAGTAATGATGACAGGGCCCTCACTCACGGTGACGGGCGCGGTGATGGAGCCCTCAGTAATGATGACGGGGCCCTCACTCATGGTGATGGGGCCCTCAGCATTGGCCTCCGGAGGGAGGTCTTGACCTGCGGTGAGGAGTCTGCCTTTCTTCTTTTTGCCTTCCGTGATGTCAGTAAAAGAATCTTTGCCTTGGACGTCAGCAGGGAAGAAGGAGGGGGCGAGGGAGCCCTTGACCTGGGAGGCAAGGCCACCAGCGTTGGTCTCTAGAAGGGGTCGTGACCCCCAGGGACCAGGCCCTGGCCGCCTCCTTCCTTCCCATTGCCTTCAGCCACCTCTGCGACGGCGCCCTTGACATCAGTAAAGATGGAAAGGAAGGTGACTGAGGCCTCATCAGTGGCCACGGGGCCATTGGTGGCCTCCGAGAGGGCGTGGTTGCCCGCGGTGTTGGTGAAGATGTTACTGAGGGAGGGTAAGGTGAGGGAGCCCACCCTGCTGGCAGGGAGGCCCACACAGTCAAACAGGGTTGGCATGAGTTTCCCCACAGAGACCGAGCCATTCCTGAGGGAGACGGGGCCCGGGCCCTAGGCCACACCAATGGGGCTGCAGAGGGAGCCCCAGCTTTTGAAGAGGAAGCCGTCGAGCTCGAAGGTCTGGATGCTGCTGCCGAGGAGGCTGGGGACGTGGACGATGGAGTCTCCAAAGTCCACCCGGAAGCCTTTGCCCCCCGACATGGTCACAGAATCCCCGCACAGGTTGATGGAGCCCTGGCCAGTGATGAGGCCCCCAGGGCTGCCGGTCATAAGGAGGGAGGCCCCCACAGGGGTGGCAGAGCCCTCAGTGACAGACGCCTGGGCATTGCCGTCACCCACAAGGGAGAAGGGGATGGCGGTGACGCCGCCACCATTGCTGAGGCTGTCGCCAGGGGCAGGCAGCTGTTTGCCCTTGGAGGCGGCAGCGGTGCCACTCCAGGCCGTGGTGGAGAAGGTGCCTTTGTGGTGTTGGCGCTCCAGGCAGGGTGTGGGGCCTTCTGGAAGAAGCAGACCCCAGCTCACAGGCCTTGCAGCAGCCCTCATAGGCCGCCCTGGGGAACAGGCTCGGGCCGAGACCCTCTCTATAGCAGTCCTTCAGAATGGGCAAGACCAGCCTGCAGAGGAAGGGCCACGCGCCCCGGGGCCTCACCTGGCAGTCCCCGGGCACCCGGCACCACCTGCATCGCTGGCTCCAGACTCACACCCTCACCAGCCCCTGGTGGCCGGCCCGGTCCCACCACAGGTGGAATAGGACCTGCAGGTGGGCCAATGCCCAGGCCTAGCCCCTGGACAGCGACTGCACTGGAGCCTGCGTGGTGGGGGCGGGGGCGGAAGAGGCTCAGGTGAGTGGAGTGGGGGAAAGCCCTGCTGGCTGAGGCCACACGACCAGACCTCGTGCTCTGCTCTGCGGCCTCCTTGCTCCCCCAGCCCCAGCTCCTCACTGCCCCTGCCCCACATCCCACACTCAAACCTCAAACCTCACCTACCAGCCACCAGGGCCACAGCCAAGGCAGCCCAGCACCGGCTCCTGCCTGTGCCGAGGTTCCGAAACCGCTGGCCCCTCGGCCACACACAAGCGGAGGCAGGCCCACGTGTTCCAGGCTGCAACCCGCTCATCCGGAGCACTGAGAAGCAAAGTGAACTTACCAGCAGTTTGGCAGCAAAACCCGCTCTGGCCTGGCCTCTGTGAGGTGTCACGCCTGCTGCGGGTTCGGCTTTTTGGTGAGTTGGGGTTAACACAGGAAGGGGCAGGCCTGCTGACTCACTTAGGAGGGGAAAGGCATGGATCTGAGGCTGTCGCTGGAGCTCAGCAAGTGGGGGTCGCTGTCCCGACTGAGGGGAGGCCATCCCCCCCCCTCCGCCGTCACCTGCTAGCTGAGGGGAAAGAGGTCTCGGAGCCTGTGGTCATGGCCCAGGCAGCCCTCCTGGGCGTCACCAGCGAGGGGAGATTTGGGGGAGAGCACGGGGTGGGGGAGTTGGCTTGTCCACAGCGGTCACCAGACCAGTGACCATTCAGTAGCCACACAAGCAGATGAGAGCTTTGGGGAACCCTGCACCAGTGAGAGGCTCTGCTTCAGTGCCAAGCAGTGGAACTTTCTGGATGACAGAATGTGCTACAGCCGCACTGCCCTGCCTGCAGCCTCCGACCACAGTGGCCACAGAGGCGGTGGACACAGTCGTGCTGGAGGAACTGCTGACTGTTTAAATGGGACTGAGGAGCCTGTCAAAGCCACGGGCACTGGGACTGTGTGTTGGGGCGCGGCCGCCTCAGTTCTCTCCCCAAGCTGGGCCCAGCTGCAGCCGTGTCCACAGCTTGGGCCGCCCAGAGCCGTCTCCACCTGGCTGTGGGGCAGTGGCATGCTTCCAAGCACTTCCCAGCCCTCAACATGGGTTATTACTCTCCTAACTTCTGCACACACAGGGCCCCAGGGGGCTCAGGCGCTGGGGAGCTGTGTCAGACGCCAGGACAACGGCCCCTCTGCCAGGGCATTCCCACAGCGGGACTCACCAGCCATCATCCTGAGGGCCCGTTGGACCAGAAGTCTGCCAGGCTGTGGAGCTTCCCTTGGCCCTCCCGGCGGGCGAGCTGGAGATGCCTTGCTGGGTGGAACACTCCACCCTGCTGCACTGACGGCGCTTGTCCACAGCGGCCACCATGATGACGGCCCATGAGGCTCACAGGTGACCCACAGCCACCCCTGGCTCCCGATCAGGGCCGAGCACCCCTGAGGTGTGGCTAGCAGACGGCTGCGAGGTCACGGCAGCGCCATGGAAACCGGAGATGAGCCTTTGTCCAAGGGGAGTGCCGGCCCGAGGAGGAGCCGAGGGAGGGAAACGAAACCCCCATGAGGCACCCGCCATGTCTTTCCCCAGGACCCTGCGTCAGCCGTGTGGCAGCATAGAGAGGCAGGCGCTGAGACCGAAAAGGAGCACCCAGCCCCACCCTCCCGTCTCAGGGACAAGACAAGGCCCAACAGCCCCACCCAGCCTTTCGGGCCACCCAAGGGCCTGTGGAAAAGCACCTTAAGCCCCTCCCTCCCCAGGGTCCCCAGCCTCCAGCCACACCTCAAGAGCCCCACCAGCAGGTACTGGCGTCCTGGGACCAGGCTATGCTCAGGTAGCAGAACCCAGATGTCCCAGGGCTTCCTCCTGGCCATGATCAGGGCGAAGATGCTGGCCCACATGTCTGCCCCAGCCCATCCATTCTGCCGTCCAGCTCCACAGTGCAGGCTGAGGGCTGCAGCCACCAGGGGACCCAAGGAAGCGTCCCGCTTCCAGTGCCGGCCAATCAGCCACCTTGACAACAGCACGGTCTCCATGGCAACCAGATTTGTCTCAGAGATATGGGAAGCAGAAAGGAAAAATACAATACAATGCCATCTCCCGTGACCCCGACAGCCTCCCTGGGGCAGCACCGTGCTGGGCCCGTGGACACACAGGGGCCTCCCCCCGTGTTTACACAGATCACACTCAGGAACCATCCGCTGCCTCCTCTTTCTGCTGCGCATCAGGAACAGGGGCCCCCACTCGTCTGCTGCTGAACTCCTGGTATTTTTTCAGCTGTGGCTATCATGTAGCTCACCCAGCTTCTCTCTGCACACAGCACTAATGCTTTTCACACAGACAAAGCTACGAAGAACGTTATGGAACGTGTGTCATTGCAAATTGTCCCATGGGTGTGTTCTCCTAAGCTCTTTATTCATGAGAATAGAAAATATTTACATAAAATGCATAAACATGAATGCAGAGCTTCAGAAACTATTCTAAAGTCTTAGCTCACCACCTCCCAGAGGAAGAAACAAAACCTTGCCAGCCTGTTCCCTCCTGATTTCAGCCCTTGGCCCCCGCCCCCGCCCTCCTGGCAGAGGTGCCACCGGCCTGGCCGTGCCTGCGTGGATCAGGTAGGGTCCTCAACGCCTATGATGCCGCCCTCACCCAGCCCTTGAGCCGCGCAGCTTCTGAGCTTTACGTAAACACTTCGTGTGTGTGCCCAGCTTCTCACGCCGTTTTGGGTGGTTTCGTGTCTGTTTCAGCGGCATCGCTGTGCCTGGCAACCACCCGTCAGGGCACAAGAAAGGGTCAGTCAAGAAGGAGACGGGAAGTACGGCGGGGAGGCGGCTGCCAGTCCCTGCATGGCGACCTGGAAAGCTCCCCGCAGATCTACCGTGAGAGCCTCAGGCCACCTGGCTCTCACAGCTCCCATCTGGCCATCTCTGCCCTGCAGGCTGAACCATTTCTTCTCATTTGTCTACAACTCCACATGTTCTCTCTTGGTCTGTGTCCACTCTGCAGGTAACCCTGGCAAGCGAGTGCACTGCTGTCACCCTTCTCATTTCTTTCAAATCATCTTTGCTGAACACTTGGTATTCCGGCTTGTGGCTATCTATCATGCAACTTTATCAAATAACCTGTGGGATGGCGATTCTTTCTGGCCCTTCGGAAATGCATGAGCTCTTTCTGCCATGCAGCTAGGTTCAGGGTAGAAGAGGAAGTCACTGGGACAGGCTCTGGGAAGGCCCCTGAACCTAGGGTGGACCGCTGGGGAAGGCCCTGCTTTTCTCCTCCAGCTTCCCTTTCTTCTGTCCATCAGAGCATGGATGATGGCCGCCCTCCAGCAGCTGTCTCAAGCTTGGAGCTGTGAACCCAAGGAGCAGGAAGGCGGGAACCTGCAGCCGTGGTGACAGCCGGAGGGTCGCCTACCTCTGGGTTTCCTGTTCACACAAGAAGTAAGCCAGCTGCCGCTGTGGTCTTGAGGCTCTGATCTCTGGCACTTTGGATTACCACGCAGCTAGCCGGAGTGATCCTAACTCATGTGCCGGGTGGCACCTGAGGTCCTGGGGTTTGCCGGTTGGTTCAGGGACACTGTGCATGTGTGGGCCCTTGTGATCCTGGTCCTGTGCCTGCAGTGGTCTGAGAGACACTGTCTTCCCGCTTGTCTCCAAAAGCCTCGGTCCACAAGGCCCCCACAGAGGACCTCCTCCTGCCCACCACAGCCCCCCAGAACCAGCATTTCCTGGCCGTTCCCCACCACACTGGGGCCACAGCCCTGACTGCCAGTAACCCCCACCACCTCCCCCAACAGGCTCCGCAGCCCTGGAGGCCACGCCTGGCTCTAAGTTTAGGGAAAAGGTTTGGAATGACAACTGACCATAATCACTCAAAATAACCTTTTGGATGGCAATTCCGACCCTTCTGAAATGCAGGAAGCTGGTTGCCCTGATATTCTTTGCTCAAGAATCGTTGGCTGTTCCTTAGACCCATCCCAGAAGACCTCCAGAGGCCCGGGCTGTGGACAGCAGAGAGGCAACTTCTCCACGCCTCCATCTGGCTGCCCATGTGTCTGTCTCCCAAACCCACAAGCCATGCCCTACACGAGCTGCTTACCTGGCCTCTAACAGATCAGTCAGCCACAAGCTCACCTTCTTTTTCACCAGGGCTGGAGGAGGCAGGGTTTGTGTAGCACCCATGGGTCCCTGCATCAGCACCCACCTGGAGCTAGCCACGGGAGCCCGACATCAGGCTCTAGGACCCAGGCCTGCTGCAAACGCCTTCCGATCCCACTCCCTGCCCAGCCTCCCCAAGGGACTTCTCCAGGACAGGGTGGGATGGGGATGGGGGATCAGACCTGGGAAAAAACTATCAGGGGGAGCTGGGTGCTTCAGCACCGCTGCCCACCCGCCCTCAGCACTGCCTCCCACCCGGCTCAGTGGCTTAGCGTTCCCTCTCCCCACAGACACGTGCTCCCCTTCTGGGGACACTTCCTCACACACTGGTACCTGAGCTCAGTTTCTGGGGAGGGCAGGTGGCAGGCTGGGGAGTCCCACCACAGTCTCCCACAGGGAAGGAGGTTCAGCCTGGGCCTGAGGGGCAGATGCAGTCGATCCCAGTGAGGGAGGAGCTGAAGCCAAGGCCCGGTGGGGCGGGTCAGCTGACTGGATGGCGGTCCTTGCTCAGCAGGATCCCATCGCTGAGTGTGATGAGGAGAGGGAGAAAGAGAGGACAGGAAAAGGAGCTGGGCAGAGAGCGGTGGCCCCTGGCAGGTGCCGGGGCTCCCCCTCCCCCTCAACTCCTGGCTGCAGTGACAGGAACAAGGCCACCTCCCAGACCCCAGGCCCTGCAGCCCGAGGGCCAAGTCCCACAGGCTCCGTGTGGCTCTGCCCTTGTGCTGCCCAGGCGGGGGGGGGGGGGGTCCGGTCCCCGAAGCTGGGGACGCAGCCTCTGTCCGGCCATTCTATTGCTGAAGACACTTCCGCTGTCCAAGAGGCCCCTTGCTCTCCTGCTCCAACCTTTGGCCCTGCGGACTGGGGAGGCCATTCCGAAGGAGCCAGGCAAGGGGCCTCCTGTGCTCACCCTCCCGGCATCCCACCCCAAGGCCGCTCACTCACTGCTGCTCAGCCTGCCGCAGAGCTTGAGTGACACCCACTGCCCTGGAGTGAGAAGGCAGCACACATAAAACACACAACACAACACACACAACATACACACTACACACAACACACACAACACATGTACTACACACACAACACACAATACACATGAAGAGATACACACGTACACAACACAAACACGACAATACACACTACACACCATAAACATACTACACATGAACAGAGATACATACACACCAACACACACAATACACATACCACATACAATACACATGAACACACACTGCACACACACACACACACACACACACACACGCACTGGGAGATTTAAAACATAAATTGACATTAAACTACTAACCACATTCTAGGAAGTTTAGAAAACAGCAGGGGAGGGTAGAAACCTGGCACCCATCTTAACAAAAACGACCGTTTTTATTCTTATGTGTAATAATTGTGGAAATATCTCATTCCATTTTTTAAAAGTTTATTCTTAAATTGGGCAGATAAATTGCGTGTTCGTTTTTAACTTCTGGGAAATGTTTCGAAAACAGGATAGAACAGCATTTTTATTTGCAAACACTATTAACCATTTCCTGTTCCAACCTCAGAAATGGCTGTGAATCAGGCGTTGCCTCTCCACACGGGTGCCCTTGGCCACGGCCGGCCGCCGCCCGTCTCCACCCTCCCAGCCCAGCACCCGCGGCCTCCCACTGCAGACGCAGTTTCGGGATGGTCCTGCTGTTTCCTGTGCTTCCCCAGCCCAGCCCTGCGTCCCTGAGTCCCTTTGTGGATGGAAACTTCCCGCGGGCCCGAGAGAGCGCGGGAAATCCCCTCCCCACCACTTTCCATCGGTGCTGGCTCCTGTTCCAGCTCACGATGCCCTGTCTCATCGCTGCCGTGAGCTGGGTGCCATGTGTCATGACAGGCAGGCCCCCTAGGAAACTCCAGGGCTCCTCTTCTCAGACTGGGAACAAGGGAGGGCTCTTTCTCTGGGGCCCTGAGAGCAAGGCCCCTGTCTCGGAAAGCAGCCCAAGAGCCCTGGGTGCCTGAGCTAGCTGGCCCACAGCGGGCTTCCGGGGCCTTTACTCATAGTCACCAGGAACTGGAGTCCACGCAGACATACTTAAACTGAAGAATGGCTGCTAAACTGCAGTGTGGCTCCTCACCACAGCGGGGATGGCTCTGCACAGACAGGAGCTGGCTGCTGGAACACACGCTGGTCATCTCCAAGGAATCCACACACACAGCACACAGCACACACGACACACACCGCACACAGGACGTGCATGCACCTTCCCACGGCCGTCACGGACATGAAACCATGATGGAGGGGAGGACAGGCTTGTGGCCACCAGCAGGGACCCCGTGGTGTCAGGGACTTTCTGCAGTTCCACCATCGGGGGACACAGGAGCCCTCACTTGTGCCAACATTATGTGTGCAGCCCCAGATACACACACATCGCCAGGAATGGGGGACTCGGGGCGGGAATGGCGCGTCCCGCATCAAAGTCATTAACCTAGCTGTGACGTTGTCCTGTCCTTCTCCAAACGGTATCATTCAGAGAAACTGAGCCAAGTGTATGAAGGAACATCGGTGTAATTTCTCAGAACTGCAAGTAAATCTACCATTATCTCAATTGAAAATGATACCATACTTAACCAAAACATACATCCATCAGCCGGGTGTCATGGCTCATGCCTATAACCCCAACACTTTGGGAGGCCGAGGTGGGAGAATTGCTGAAGGCCCGGAGTTCAAGACCAAGGCCACATAGGGAGACCTCCCCCACCCGCCCAAATCTCTACAAAAAAAACGTTAGCTATGAGCTGGCCACAAGGTGCACGTCTGTGGTCCCAGCTACTCAGGAGGCCAAGGAAGGAGGATCACTCAAGCCTGGGAGGTAGAGGCTGCACTGAGCCAAGATCACATGGCTGCACTCCAGCCTGGGTGACAGAGCAAGACCCTGTTTCTAAAAGAAATAAACAAACAAAAGTCACATACAACTTTGTTTGTTGTAAATTATCTTTTAACCGAATGTCCTGAATTGAATCTGGCGGCTCCCGTCCCAGGGCCAGTGACTTGGAGGGAGCATGACCCTCGGTGAGGAAGGAGCGAGCAG